GGGGGCACGCTGGTTGGAAAATTTTACCTTTTGTCTGCTGAGTCTCCCCATTTTTTTTTTTTAATTTTATTTTTTTAAGTAGCAAGTTTGGTGCTTTTAGCAAATATTCTAGTTCAGACCAAAAGTGTAATGGCACTTACTACAGTTAGATAAATTGATAAATAGATAAATAGATAAATACAGTGTTACAGACACGTACACAAGTTTGTAATTTAATCTTTAAGTTGTGCAAGACTAGATGCTGCCAAAAACTGTAATTTCAAACGGTTCTTACGCAGCAACTGTGTGTGTAAACAGTAACAAAGAAAAAAATGAACAGTACAACATTTAAAACTGCATCTGAAAACAAGCAAGCAAGCGAACAGGATTCTGCAATTCATTTGTTGCTGTTACAGAACACACGTTTTATTACTTCAGCATTTTCAGTATTCATCCTCTTCTTCAGCCTCTGCTTCTACAGAGTCTATCCCAACTTCTTCATAATCTTTTTCAAGGGCAGCCAGATCTTCCCGGGCTTCGGAAAATTCTCCTTCCTCCATTCCTTCCCCAACGTACCAATGTACAAAGGCACGTTTGGCATACATCAAATCGAATTTATGGTCGAGACGAGCCCATGCTTCAGCAATGGCAGTGGTATTACTCAGCATACATACAGCTCTCTGCACCTTTGCAAGGTCGCCACCTGGCACCACAGTTGGAGGCTGGTAGTTAATGCCCACCTTCAAGAAAACAAGTGAGAACGTCTTTAATTACTGGGAAGCACTGAAGACTTATTTCTGTTAACAACAACAGTAGCCACAACTGTGAACAATTAAATAAAATTATTTTGCGCTTCATCAAAAAATTTAACTAAATCCTAAATTCAGGATCTGGTCAAACTGGTCCAGCGTTAGCTACATTGGCCTAGAGGTTATTTTTCCAACAGATCATAAGAGCTTACTGGACTCTACAAAGAACATAAGAATCTAGGTCTTTCCAAGTCCTGAATGCGTGGACAGTAGCTGGAAGGATGGACCTCTTGTCCGGAAGGTGACACTGCCAGTCAACTGAGAACAAGCAGAAGTAGCTGAACAACCTGATATTGATCTAGTAAAAAGGCGACTTACAGGAGCCTATGTTTAAATGAATCACAACGAAAAAAATAGGTTTGCTCTAGTGACAGCAGTCAGGCTCCACATGTCCAGAAACTGATAGCGTCTACCACTTCAAGGTATCTCAAAAACATTGTTGGGAAATTACTGCACTGAATTCAATAACTTAATGTAGTGTTTCTACATTTGCTTGGGGCTTGCCTATATTCCTTCTGTACAAAGCTCCCGAGATTTTTGAAGACTTGCAGTAAAACCTGGCATTGCTTTTCAGTACTACCTGTTTGTAAATTATTTTCAGACACTCAGTACTGCCTGCTCCTATAAAAACCGTGACTGCTATTCTGTAACTTGTTTTAGAATTTTCATCTGAGTTAAAATATCAGGGAATTATATTTAAGAATATAATCTGAAATGTAAGCAGTTCAGTAACAGGAACGTTACAGTACAGTACAATGACCGCTACCTCCAAATATCATGTAATTCCTACTATTTCCAAAATCAAGCACTTCAGAAGTTATCAAAGTACCTTGAATCCAGTTGGGCACCAATCCACAAACTGAATGGTACGTTTAGTCTTGATAGTAGCGATAGCTGCGTTAACATCTTTAGGGACAACATCACCTCTGTATAACATACAGCAGGCCATGTATTTACCATGACGTGGGTCACATTTTACCATCTGGTTGGCTGGTTCAAAGCAAGCATTGGTAATTTCAGCCACGGATAACTGCTCATGGTAGGCTTTTTCAGCAGAGATGATAGGGGCATATGTTACCAAGGGGAAATGGATTCGTGGGTACGGAACAAGGTTAGTTTGAAATTCTGTCAGATCTACATTAAGGGCTCCATCAAAACGTAGTGAAGCTGTGATGGATGAAACAATTTGTGCAATTAGTCGATTTAAATTGGTATAAGTGGGACGTTCTATGTCCAGGTTGCGACGACATATATCATAAGTGGCTTCATTATCTACCATGAATGCGCAGTCTGAATGCTCCAGTGTTGTATGTGTAGTTAAAACTGAATTGTAAGGTTCTACTACAGCAGTAGAAACCTGTGGTGCTGGATAAATTGCAAATTCTAGTTTAGATTTTTTGCCATAGTCAACAGAGAGCCTTTCCATGAGCAGAGATGTAAACCCTGAACCAGTGCCTCCTCCAAAACTGTGAAAGATAAGGAAACCTTGCAGCCCAGTGCACAGATCAGCCTATAATAGGGTGGAAAAAAGCAAGAGAGAAAAAACATATATTTATTATTACCTTTTCCAAAATCATCAACATTAAAATAAACACTCAAAAGCAATTATTTCCTAATCATTTGCTTTAAAAGGTAACTTTTTTCTTGCATATCTTTTACTTAAAACCACCACAGCACACCTTGTTCTGAATATGAGTATTTTCTCATTTGAATGTAGCATTTTCCTTTATGCATTTTTTATCCTACTAAAAGCAAGAGCAGTTGTGCACCACTGTGAAAGGTTATTAGAAATTACAGCAGGCTTGCAGCTTTTAAACTACTATTGTACTCTGTATGGCAGCAAGTATCAATTTGGTTTGGAAAAAAAGTATTTTTACAACTTCAGATAGGCAATCACTACTTCACTTTGATTCACATCATGCTAAGTGAATTTCTTACATTACACCAGGTTATGGAAACCTAGAAAGACATGTGAAATTACTGAACGTCCAACCAAAATCTGAGTTTCAGGGTACTGGAAATATTTTGAATGACACATAATGGTGCGATTCAGGTTAAAAATAACAAACAAGTGCTTACAGTCTAAAGATTTTATAACGCACTTCTGAGGTATCCTTAAAATATCTTCAAATAATGATGTTCCACATCACAAGAGCTTTCAAGTTTTACTGACTGAATTTTTATTTAACTCAAGAGGGGGGAGGCATGGGACCAAGTTCCTGGTTTTTTGTTTTTAATAATCTATGCATAAAATTCTTAAAAACAAACAATTCCCTCCCCCCCAGAAAAAAAAACCAACACAAGTGTCATAACAAATTGTAACTATAGGTAGCTCTAGAGCTGTATCTTACTTATTTTAAATATTGATCTGCAGCACGAATTCTTACCACTTTGCGCGTGCGGTCTAACACTAGATCAACAATCTCTTTTCCAATGGTGTAATGGCCTCTGGCATAATTATTAGCTGCATCTTCTTTCCCAGTAATGAGCTGCTCAGGGTGGAACAACTGCCTATATGTGCCTGTACGTACTTCATCTACAAGTGAAAAAA